TTATCTCTATAAACCAATCAGAACAGACTTCCTTAATAGGCATAATCTAATTTATTAATTTATATTGTTCAGAAGTAGGAAAGTATTTCACAGGCATGCAATGAGAGGTCAAGGGCTTCCTCAATTATAAACACACAGACACACCGAGAATTTAAAAGTTTCAAATCTACAACCGTAGCCACAGGCCAAAAGTAAATTTACCAGTCCAGATCTCAAATAGCTGTTCTCCTTCTCAGTGGGCATTTATTTCTTAACTGACAGAGCTCTCACACACACAGACAAGATGAACAAACCAGATTCTCCGTCATCTTTCACCCAAGAGAGAATCGATTTCTGCCATTGACAGAGATCACCAAATGGGCCATAAAAACATAGTCTCAATCATGTCACCAATGGAAATTAACTTATGGGCCATACCTGAAGCAGAAACAAAAACAAACAGAGTATCAGTAAGGAGGGCAAAACCTACACAAATAGAGTCCAAAAAAGTTAAGGCCTTACTGCCACAAGGGAATCACTCTGAGAGCCAAGAAAAGACGTGCCTAGGCTTAAGTAGATCTCGAAGTGGTGTTCTCAAGCAATGAGGTTTACTTGGCTCTGTGAGTCCACTTGGGTATCTAGGTAAATGACTTCCAAAGCTGCTACAGTATAATTTTCAAAATAATAAAATTATGATGCATAGAAATATAAAATGAACACATCAAAAATTTTATTTAACTCATTAACCAAGGAGAGAACCAATAAGATATTAAAACCAATTTCCAGCAACCAATTTAAACCTTAAAACTTAGATGTCTCAAATATTTCTTTTTTTTTAAGCTGCTAACCTTCAAAGCCTTTTTTAGTCCATTATCAAAGGATTTTATATTTTAAATGTTTTTCATCTCCAAGATTATCTAAAAAGTTTCTTTTAAATGGCTCCAGAATTCTTCTCCTTCTGTACCTTCATCTTACCTATCCAGAGTTCCTTTTATTATTGATACTACTTGGTTAGGAAGGCCTGCAATTCTAAGACTTTAGATAAGATCTCATTTTCTTGAACTGAATCAAAAAATGGAGGGGTAAAGAAATCAGAGACGTCATAAAATACATACAAAGTAATATAATCTTACAGATGGAATATGGAGCATGTAATATTCTGCTTCTACATTTGCTATTTCAGAAATAAATGACTCACAATATTTCATTGATTCCAAAATGCATACTTTTCATATTTAACATCTCAGAAATCTGGATAAGTTTTATTTTAACAGCCATTGGCTATTTTTCTCTACATTTGTCGTCTTTGCAATTGAGATGTGTCCTTTAATTGATAGCATATTAGTTAGGTGAAATATAGTACTGCTGTCCCCTGGAAATGCTATTCCATTACATTATAAAGATGTTAAACCAGACTAGAAACAGTTTAGATGTTGAATGCTAATGCAACTATGCTCATAGATGCAGCAAGTCACAATAGGGGCTTTGAGCAAAATTGTGGGTAAAGAGAAACTTTTTTCATTTAAGTGTAAGATATGTACATGGTGAACAAAACAGACACAGCTACCGCTTTAATAAAGCTCATAAACCAGAGCAGCATTGTCCAATAGAATGTGATCTACATGTGTAATTTTAAATTTTCTAATAGTCACATTAAAAAGGCAACAACTGAAATTAAAGAATACTTTTTTTTTTTTTTGGTGAGGACGATTGGCCCTGAGCTAATATCTGTCTCCAATCTTCTTTTTGCTTGAGCAAGATTGTCCCTGAGCTAACATCTGTGCCAATCTTCCTCTACTTTGTATGTGGGACAAAGTACATGTGGGATGCTGCCACAGCATAGCTTGATGAGCAGTGTGTAGGGCCACGCCCGGACCCGAACCTGAGAACCCCGGGTCCCAAAAGCAGAGTGGGCAAACTTAACCACTATGCCACCAGGCCAGCCATAGAATACATTTATTTAACCCAATATATACCAAATATCATTTCAACAATCAATACTTTTAAATTGTTAATGAGAAATTTTACTTTATTTTGCCTAAGTCTTTGAAGCAGGGTGTGTATTTTACACTTAACACATCTCAATTCAGACTGGCCACATTTCAAGTGCCCCATGTGGCTATATCGGACAGCGCAGGTCTAGAGGGAGAGATCAACTTGTTTTTTAACCAATATTGGTTTTTTGTAGCTACTTTTCTTTGGAAGGGGGATATTTTTATTTTTTGAAGAGGTAAAACATACCAAATTTCAAAAGTACCAGAGTATTCAGTGAAAAGTAAGCCTTTAAATCCTGTCCCCAGCCACCCGTTTCTCCTCCTGTAGGAAACTGCTTTTAGTATTTCTGTGCATTCGTAAATACATCCATATTTTTTTCCCTTTGTTTCCCACACAAACAGTAGCATACTATATCTAGTTGGGCACTTTCTGTTTTTGTTTTCACTTAATATATTTTAGAGATTTTTTTCATAGCATTGTATGCAGAACTTCCTCATTCTTTGTTTTTTTCCCCTCATTCTTTTTAATGGCTGCATAATGAATACGTCATGTTTTTATTTAACCTTTTGATGGTTTGATAAAATATTTGTAATCTTTCGCTATTACAAAGACTGCTGCTATGAGTATTTTTGCATATAAGTTACTTCATACCCAAGAGAGTATATTTGTAGGATAACTACCTAGAAATAGAATTGCTGAATGTAATTACAAGAATGCTAGAATCTGTAACATGTGGCACATTCTAGGCATCCAATACTTATTTGTTGAAAGAATGTATAAAATAAGAAGTGAGGCTTATTTTTCATTCCAGCAGTTATAGACTCAATCTGAATGTTACTTTTTGGATCTGATGCTTGTATTATTATTTTGAGCACTGCTTTTCCCAAGAGATCTGACCACTCCCTCTCCCCGTTGTTTTCCCTCACTCCACCATATCCCTCCCCCATCGGATTTAGAGGCAAAAAAAGCCGGGGAAATTACATTAATATTTAACAAGGCAGACTTTTAAAGATAATAAGTATTAGGGCTAGGGACGGCCACTTAATGATAAAGGCTCAATCACCAGAAATAGATAATTCTAAACTTACATGCATTTAATAAAGTAGCCTCAAACTATAAACGGGAGTATCAACAGACACAGGGAGAAATAATAAAATCTGTCATCACAGTAGATTCAACACTCTGTTACTGACAGCCCACATACGTCACTGTGCCAGGAACCCTTCTCCAAATCGCTACTAAATGCAATAAATTTTAAGGGTATGGGGTGCCAATATTTTCTAATGAAAGACCTAAGAAAGCACAGATGAAAATAGCTGTAACAACACACCTAGTAAAGCCGAACTCTGTGGAAAGCTCGTAAAAGGCACATGGTGTTTCTTTTTTTTTTGAAAGTCATTTCCAAATATTTCAGCTATTAGCGCTTCCTGAAGAAGCGGGGCAGTGGGTGAGGGAGCCGGCCCCCAACGGACAGCGCAAACAGGAGGCGAAAGTGCACATTTCACTAACATTCACTCAAAAAACCTTTATTGAACACTTACTACGTGCAAGAACTCTACTAATTACCAGCCATTTCAGATCTCCAGAGCTCAAAGAGCTCCAAGAACAAATGATTTCTTAAAAGTAATTCAGATATTTAAGTATTACCTAAACCTGTTTTTAGACAAATCGAGGTGGCTACGGGAAGAGAAAATCGGCGCCACACCCTTTGTGTGCAGGCAGCGAGGACAGCTATGAGCAGCCGGTGGGGTCCTAGGGCAGCCCTGGAACCGCTCCTTCCTTCAGGCGGGAGTATGGTCAGCTATGTCGGGGCGCGGAGGGGACTTGAGGGCGCTTCTGCGCAGGCGCGTGCCGCCTAAATCGACTCAGGAAGGCGCAGAGTTCTCTTTTCGCTCTCAGACATGGTGAGTGTGGTTGTGTTCTGGGCGGCTGTCCAGGAGTGGCGGGAGGAGATCGGGTGGGGTAATATTGAGCAGCTCAGTCGCTCGCACGGTTGTTTCCCAAGTGTTGGAGGATGGTTGGGTTCAGACACGGGCTTTGGAAGGTTTCTTGAGGGCTCCGAGAGGGTGAAGGATTACTCAGCGTTTTCTGCAGACCTCGCGGTCGCGGTCGCCGCTTCTGATTTTACCCAGGCCTCCTCCTGCCGGGCGGGCCTCGGGAGGCAACGGCCGATGTCTTGATACCTCACAGGAGCCAGGCCAGTGGGTAGTTCTTTTTTCCTTCTATGTATTTTTTATGGCTGAACATCTTAGAATCGTTAGTGGTGTGGTCTCGTTGAAGATCTAGTAAATTTTAAATGGGATCCGAAGGAAATTCGCTAGACCTTAGTCCTTTTTGGTAATCGTCATGACCTACTTAAAGTGAAGGCAGTGCAGTCTCAATCACAAAGATTTGGATAAGAAATTCGGAGAACTAGAGCAGCATTCTTATCTTCTGGGGCCTTATTGCAAATACAGAAACTAAGACTAAAGCTAGAAAAGATGAGGCTAAAGGGACTGCTTGCTTGATAAATTGAACAACTTTGGCGGTGCGTAGGTGCTTTGGAACCCGAATTTTTAGGATTAATAAAATTTCGTTAAAGAACTTAGCTGCAAGTTATGGGCTAGCTAAATTTTTATTTTAGTGTTGTAGCTTGCTTTCTGCCACATGTAAGCAATAAGTTGTCCCGAATTGGTAAGCTTTCGTACTTTACGGCGTATGTTTTACTTAACGTTTTTAAGTAAAAGATAACAGATGAAGGTCATAATTTTTTGGGTCGATGATGAGCTGGCATGTATTCTGAAATCTAAAGTTGATTACTACTACTTTAGCTCTAGAATTACTCTGAGACCTGAAAAATACCTGAATCTGTACAAGGCTTTGGTGCTTACGTTCTTTTTAGTCAGATACTTGGCAATTTCTAAATTGAAAGTTTTTGTATGGCAAGATGAAATCAAAGTAAAAAGTTCAGATCTGTATTGAATATATACTCTGGGGTCAAACATTAAAAGGTAAACATTTACGAAATCGCTACTTTTTTGTTTTGAAAGGGCACACCGCAGAAAGATGTTATCATCAAGTCAGATGCACCTGACACCCTGTTATTGGAGAAGCATGCAGATTATATCGCATCCTATGGCTCAAAGAAAGACGATTATGTATGTATGATTTCGTTAAAAAATGTATTTTAAAGAAATCAGACCATTCTGCATAAGCAGGAGGTAGGTCTGTGTTTGGTAGGTCGGTGTTTGTGGCCCATGTTTTTTAAAAATTTTATCCAACTCCTGCATGGCAAGGACTGAATTTATGTCCTTGAACTGCACTGGGTGTACCTTTGCATATCTGAGGTTGAGGGTCCATCAGAATTAGCAATGGTTCTTACCAATACTTAGTTCCAGTGCTTGGCAGACAGAGGAGATTTCCCTCCTGCCCAGATCTGTAAGAGATTTGAGGTATAGAATAAATTTCTACTTTTGTAGTTGAGGCAATACTTGCAAGGTCAATGATGTGTTGGCATGTATTATCTGATTTTACGGCTGATGTGTAATAACACTTTAGCTCTAGAATTACGCTGAGACCTTGAAAAAGTTTTGCCTTGAGTTTTAGACTTTATAGAATAGTTTTCCTCTCTTGGACAATCTTAGGAAAAAGTAATGAACAACTCAGCTGAAAGTAAATATTTTCCCCTGTAGTATCCAAAGAGCTGAATTATCTGCCGTCTTGGAAATCACCTAGTATTGAATTCTTGACTTACGTGTTAGGTTCCCATAACCTTGTAGTTATGGAGTTGTTAGGGACATGTTTATTTTTTTTTCCTGGATGACTAAAAGGTTAGGGCATGACTGATTCCTGCCTTTTTATGTACTGCTCACGTGCCAATTTTTTAAACCCTAAATTTGGGTTCACAGCAAACTGCTAAGACCACCTACCTGATTCAGAACCTCTAAAAATGCAATACATTGGTGACCGTAGCGGAAATTTGTTTGTAGACGCTTCTGTGTACCAGTTTTTATATCTCCTTGATTAGCCACTGTTAGCTGTTTTATCTTAACCTTTTGCATGCTTTGGCTATTTTGGTTTTCAAGTAGTTATATCATTTGCTAGTAGATAACAAATAGATCTTGTACAGAGTCCTTATATTAAAAGAATGGAGGTCTAGGGCCTGGCCCCGTGGTATGTTGGTGAAGTTTGCATGCTCCCCTTCAGTGGCCTGGGGTTCACGGGTTTGGATCCTGGGCGTGGACCTATGCACCGTTCATCAAGCCATGCTGTGCCAGGTGTTCCACATACACAGAGGAAGGTGGGCACATATGTTAGCTCAGGGCCAATCTTCCTGGCCAAAAAAAAAAAAATAATAATGGATGTCTAATAAATAGGATGTAAATACTCTAAAAGAAATGTTCTCCTCAAGCTTGAAAAAGGCAGATCTTTTTCTGGCTTACACTTCTGTTTGCCTCTTGGGAGAGATTAAAGCCCTATTTGTATTGTCAGTTACAGAGGCGTTTATTGTGTGCTTTTCGGATAACTGACTACCCGCCACCTCCGCCCTCCCCCCAGATTTGAGATTCACAAGTTTAAACTTGCTACTAATGATGTTAGGATCAAGTGAAGTAAAAAGTAACCGTGTGGCTAGTTAGCTTTATGTATGTGTTCAATCTCTAACCCTGCATCAGTTCAGACTGGCACATTAAAGTAATTGTGTATTTTAGGAATACTGTATGTCTGAGTACTTGAGAATGAGTGGCGTCTATTGGGGTCTGACCGTAATGGATCTCATGGGACAACTACATCGCATGAATAGAGAAGAAATTCTGACGTTTATTAAGTCATGTCAACATGAGTGTGGTGGAATAAGTGCTAGTATTGGACACGATCCTCATCTTTTGTATACTCTTAGTGCTGTTCAGGTAAATACTAATTAAAATTAATCAGTCTTGGTAGTGTATTCTCTTAGCTGAGAGGGGGGATTTTGAAACCAGGTATTAACAAGGTGACAAAGTCAGTATCTGTGTCAAAAAGTTACCTGTATCTTTTCAAATGAAATCTATTCTGCAAGGTCAGTGATGTGATGGCATGTATTAACTGAATCCAAAGGTGATGTAAATTCTAAAATTACACTGAGACCTTGGATGGTAAAATGTTTATCTTCAGTATATGTAAATACTTGAAAATCACTAGGAGTTAAATGTTATAACTTTGGTATTGAAGATCCACAAGTAAGGATTTAAAGTCTACTTCTGTATATATAAGTTAGTATAAAGAGTATTGGAATGCTAAGTTAAATTTATATGAGAAAAATAATGCTTTATGGCTAAAGGTTTGGGTTTGTTGGTAATACCTATAATTTTATTGCGTAGGAGATAGTCTGCATGTTTGAGAAAAGTTCACAATGTGTATAGACAAAAGGACTTTGCTTGCCTGACAACTTTAAAGGAAGTTGAGGAAGAAATCAGTAGAACAAACTTAGCAGAGTTGAAGAGGTATTTATTTAACATGGTTTTGTTTTTGTTACAGATTCTTACTCTGTATGATAGTATTAATGTTATTGACGTAAATAAAGTTGTGGAATATGTTCAGAGTCTACAGAAAGAAGATGGTTCTTTTGCTGGAGATACTTGGGGTAATGTCAGTTTAATCCATGCTGTCCAAAATATCAATGTTAAAATGTCCTGTTTTGGTGTTTATTGAAGTTAAGGCTTTGTAGCAGACTTTAAAGTACAATAAATCAGAGGCTTTGCTAATAGTTTATAAGGAGATTTTTAAGTTTCTCATCTTTTCAGGTCCCACTAAGCAGCTGGTCTAATTGGAGTTAATGGTCTGCTGGAAGTTCCAGCATGCACTGTGCTAGTTATAGCAGCATACAGGAGCACTGGAGCAGAGGGGGCCAGTCTAAAAGATAAGGTAGGTGACATTTTTTTCTGCAGATTTGGTGGCTTTGTAAAGTTTTTTAAAAACTGATTACTGGCAGGGAAAAATATTCAAAAAACTTTACAAACTTACTGAATATTTGAGTGGAGGGAGGGAATAGTATTTTACTTGATAAATGTAGATAATCTCTGCTTTAGGGCTGAATACAGTGCAGGCCCGAGAGACCAGCTGCTTCATGGGATATGAAAATCTACTTTTATATAATAGGGTAAGTTTATGTCAATTAGAAATTGACTAATCCTTTTGGTTCTGTGATAGTTACCTTTTCTTTCTGAGCACTCTGTAAACAATTGAAGATCATTTGCTGTTGTTTTTTTTTTTTTTTTTTCTGTGAGGAAGATCAGCCCTGAGCTAACATCTGTTGCAATCTTCTTTTTGCTGAGGAAGACTGGCCCTGGGCTAACGTTCATGCCCGTCTTCCTCCACTTTTTATGGGGCGCCGCCACAGCATGGCTTGACAAGCAGTGCGTCGGTGCGTGCTCGGGATCCGAACCGCGGGCTGCCACAGCTGAGTGTGTGCACGTAGCTGCTACCCCACCAGCTGGCCCCTCATGTGCTGTTACTTTTGACAAAGCATTTTCTTTTTTTTTTTTTTTTGAAGATTTTATTTATTTATTTTTTTCACTCAAAGCCCCAGTGGATAGTTGTATGTCATAGCTGCACATCCCTCCAGCTGCTGTATGTGGGACGCGGCCTGAGCATGGCAGGAGAAGTGGCGCCTGCGTGCCCGGGATCCGAACCCGGGCCGCCAGCAGCGGAGCGCTCGCACTTAATCGCTAAGCCATGGGGCTGGCCCAACAAAGCATTTTTCTAGTTCTTGATTTCTTTAGAAGTAAAGTGATTTGTCTTCAGATTTAGCTTTCCTCCTGGCGACCAAAAGTAAATGTTAAACTTTTGAACCCTTGGAACTTTAGCCAGGGTAGTTGTACAGAGTTTCTTTTTGGTTAACTTGCACTGTTATGATCAGAAGTCTCCAGTAACACTTAGGTTTTGTTTTGATCCCTTTTCTCTTTTAGGAGAAATTGATACAAGGTTCTCTTTTTGTGCGGTGGCAACTTTGGCTCTATTGGTAAGTTTTGAATATTGTATTGGAATAATTAAGCATCCATGATTACTCTGGAGTTTAACAGGCATATTTTTTTGTTTATAGGGGAAGCTGGATGCTATTAATGTGGAAAAGGCAATTGAATTTGTTCTGTCATGTATGAACTTTGATGGTGGATTTGGTTGCAGGCCAGGTTCTGAATCCCATGCTGGGCAGGTAATTTACTAATGCAGATTAAAATGTAGTGTTAATTTTGAAGGGATAACCAATTTAATAAACTGGGAAAAAATGTTAATAGCAATTTCAGTGTCCGTGAAATATAAATGAAGTTAACTTGACTGAATGTAATATAATGTGAGATGTTACATAAGAATTGCTTAGTTGCTGATCAAGGAAGGTATTTTTACAGTACTTTGATTTATATACCTTTCTCTGTTGGTGGAACCTTCTGATCTAGGCAAATATAAGTAGGTTTGTAATCACCAAAAGTACGTTTTGATTTTCCATTAGTTTTTAACTAAGCAAATGAAAATATTCTGTCCCTACCTATCCTGAACACCTATTTGCTAGTACCAGAGAATATTGTATGTATAAATAGTTGTCAAGTAAAATTTGCTTTCAGCCATGAAGAAATTTGACAATAGTATTTCATTGCAGAATTGGATCTTAGTAATAGTGTAATTGGATTTGCTCAAATAGTTATGTGACATTTACATGTTTGCAATTCTAACTGTTCATCTATCAGCAAACTTAAACATAAAATGGAGTTTTAATAATTTGAGTAGTCTTTATCACTATTTTATTATTGAAAAATTATTATACACATGTACTTTATGTCTGTAATTTTAGATCTATTGTTGCACAGGATTTCTGGCTATTACTAGTCAGTTGCATCAAGTGAATTCTGATTTACTTGGTTGGTGGCTTTGTGAACGACAGTTACCGTCAGGTGGACTCAATGGAAGACCAGAGAAGGTACTGTTTTGTAAGGTAAACTGTTCTAATAGCTATATAACCTTGAGTAAGTACCACTTAGTCTTAGATTTTTCAGCGTTGCTCTTGTAAATTGGTAGTGAGCTTAAACCCCCCGCTGCCCCCGTTGCTGGTTTTTCAGTTGTACCTCCTATACCTCCTAAAAAATGCCCTTGGCAAAGTTAAAACAAGTAGGGTTGAAATGCTTACTAACCCTAGTGTCCATTTAAAAGACACTCTTAAAGAAAAGATGTACGGGGTACCTTCTGATGCTCTTTTTTATGACAAAGGCCTTTTGATCTTTCCTGTCCTGAAATAGACTCTTGAGTTATCTGAAGGAGTATACAAAAATGGCAAATACTCTAAAGGAGGAAATGTTCAGCAGTGTGGCTTCTCTGGCTCCTGCTTTGTCTCTAGTCTTAATCAGCTACACATAACTCAGGATTTCAGTGGAGCCCCTGGAGATTTTAGTGGTCATGCCTAAATCCTAGAAGAAGGAGATCTTGGCCCCAGACCAGTGTTTTGGGCTGGCACAGTGACTTCACATGGGGCAATGGCACCTTATTGGCCAGCAGTATGTCCCTGATCTCAGAGAGGTCGTTCTTGGTGAACACAAAGCCCAGGTTCTTCAGAACTGGGTGGTTCTCCAGCTGCCCTCGGATGGCCGTGTGCATCATGGTGTTCTTGCCCGTCAGCACCACACACAGCCCTCCTTGGGAGGGGCATGCAGATCTGCTGGGAGCCCACATTGCTCCCACAGTGGAGCTTTTTGAATAATCATTTCAAAAGTTGGATGATCTTAAGGAAGTGGTTGGACTTCCAGGTCATCCTTTCTTCCCTGGGCATCAAAGCAGTGTGTCAGGGATTGCCACAGGGTTTAAAGATGATGTCTCACATTAGCTTTAAAATGTATTTGTATTCGGACATAGCATGAATTTTTAAAAGATCTTTTACCCTATCCTTCTGAAGTCTTTGTATTTTTCAGACATTGAAATAAAGCTGTTTCTTAAAAACGTTTTTTTTTGTGTGAGGAATATCAGCCCTGAGCTAACATCTGTGCCCATCTTCCTCTACTTTATATGGGATGCCCCCACAGCATGGCCTGACAAGCGGTGCGTCAATGCACGCCCGGGATCCGAACCCGGCTCACCAGCGGCAGAGTGCGAGCGCTTAACAGCTATGCCACGGCCCTTCTTAAAACTTTTTAATTCTGAACCTATACCAGGGAATCAGTCATCCTTTAAAACTTAATATCTGATAGCCAGAGACTACTTATTAAGTGAACACATGCATCTTGTACAAACATCTCCACGTGCATTTATGGGTCTGAAAGGACAATGGATTTGCCAAATCAAAGAAATTAAAAAAAAAAAATAGGTTACAAAACTTTTATTCAAAATCTTCAGTAATTTTTTTTTTTTTTTTAGGAAAAACCCAATTTTTGACATTTTGATTTGGAGAAAGGAAATTAGATTTTCCTACACAAGTCCACAGTTCTGTTAAGCTTTCACACGTTGTGGGTCTTAAGGGCGAGATAGTAAATATTTTCAGCTTTGTAGGGCATATGGTCTCGTTGCAACTACATAACTGCCCGGAAGAGCAAATGCTGCCATGGACAATAAGAAACGAATGGGCATGGCTGTGTTCCAGTAAAATTACTGTGGATGCATTTGTATTTTATATGATTTTCCTGTCACAAAACTATATTTTTGTAAACCATTGACACATACAAAAAGGCTTTATTGTAGCCTAGATTTGACCTCAGGGGCTATAGCTTTTGTTGGGCCCCTGACCTAAAATATGATAGGGCATGGTAGTGCTTTCTTCTGGGTCATTGTATTTTTAACTTGGCTTTCTCAAGATTTCTGAATAAGTTAAGGGAGGAGGGCAGTAGGGAAATACCCACAGGTGGTTTCTAGTTAAAGTCTGATGAAAAACCTGGGCGACTTTGAACAATTAGAAAATGGTTCAAGGTGCAGATTGCCAGGAACCTACACTTACAATCCAGGACAGCTTTTAATGTGCCTATGAGTCACCCAAGGATCTTGTTGAAATGAAGATTCTTACTCAGCCTAAGATGGGATCTTCTGCATTTCTTAAACTCAAGTGACCATGTTTAAGGAGCCAGGTTTTAGGTGATTTTTTAAGCAGGTCTGTATCTACCTGGACAGCACTTGTTGAAAATGTGCTACCTAGGGAAATACATCCTTACATCATGATGGATTTCATGAGCCTTATCACCAGTTTCTTGGATAAGAAGCTGAGTTAGGCATTCATTGCAGATAGAAATAAAGGTAGATGGATGGTTGTCCCTGAGTACTGAAACTCTGGAACATTTAGCATGGGTTTCTGTGGATTGGAGTGTTTGGTCATCTCTTTTCTAGTGATTATCTTTAATTCTAAGCAGTTTATGGATTTCAGCATTTTAAACACTGTGTCAGTATATCCTTTGACTCCCTGCCCCGCCCCCCAGTGTTTAGAAAATAAAATTGTGGCAACTTTTTGTGGCTTTTTTTCCCTCCTAGCTACCAGATGTATGCTATTCATGGTGGGTCTTGGCTTCCCTAAAGATAATTGGAAGGCTTCATTGGATTGATAGAGAGAAACTGCGTAGTTTCATCTTAGCATGTCAAGATGAAGAAACAGGAGGATTTGCAGACAGGCCAGGAGATATGGCAAGTATATTTCTGACATGTTCATGGAGCAGTTATATTTTCAGTGTTGGTTTGTGTTACTTTTATGGTTCTAAGCCTTTCCAGACTTAGAAATGGAAAATATTCCAAGTGTTGCTTTGAAAGCTGGATACTTTCTTTGTAATTTTTATTTGAGAATATATGAAGGATATAAAACAAGTTTACAGAAATTTCTCATCACCTGTTGCCACAAAATTAGTTTATGGTAAAGGTCCTGTGTTAAAAACTGTAATTTGAGGGCCGACCCGGTGGCACAGTGTTTAAGTGCGCGCGCTCTGCTTCGGCGGCCTAGGATTTGCAGGTTTGGATCCCGGGCACTCACGCACCGCTTGTCAGGCCGTGCTGTGGCGGCGTCCCATATAAAGTAGAGGAAGATGGGCACGGATGTTAGCCCAGGGCCAATCTTCCTTGGCAGAAAGAGGAGGATTGGCATTGGATGTTAGCTCAGGGCCGATCTTCCTCACAAAAAACAAAAAACCCGTAATTCGAAACCATTATTTTTATTTCCAAAAACTAAGCATACATTCAAGTAAAGGAAATAAAATAGGCTACAATATAACCATCGTTCGGAAGCAGGGTTTTAGAAGTTTACAGTTTGTAATACTCTATAAATTCTTATTTTTTAAATAGGTAGATCCTTTTCACACTTTATTTGGAATTGCTGGATTGTCACTTTTGGGAGAAGAACAGATTAAACCTGTTAGTCCCGTTTTCTGTATGCCTGAAGAAGTACTCCAGAGAGTGAATGTTCAGCCTGAACTTGTGAGCTAGATTCATTGGTGCAAAAGTTGCTTAGTGTGGTTTTGCCATCTTAACATTTCTGTATTTGAAGTGCTTATCAAACTTAAAAATGACTACTATGTTAATATTTTGTATGTGAATTGTGTTAATTTTAAATTATATAATTATACGTACTGTAAAATAAAGACCTTTATTGTATCTTTAATTTTAAATTTTTTCCTGGAATGCTGTTACTCTAAGTACAATATTTTGTTTGTGCTTTAATGTATTTGTTATTTATATGTCTCCATAACAGCAAACTTTCTTAGTTTAACAACTATTTAGTTGAAGAAGTCTTGTGTTCTGCTTAATTTTTTTCCGTGTGCTCCCTTTATAAGTTATATAACGATAGTTAATGTAAATTGGTCTGTGTCGATGAGAATGTTAACTGAAAAATTGGTAAACCCCATATATGAATTAAAAGATGCACAAAAATAACTGGCTTTTGAAATTTGTGAATATTTCATAGGTTTATGGTTACTCTGAATTGGTCACAAAGTAATTTAGGTAAATGACAATTGACCATCTTAGAATAGGATTGTAATCTAAACTACTTTATTCTCATTTTTTAACATTTTATGTCAGAATCAGGCGACTTACCCAAGAGATTGTTACCTTTTTTTTCCCTTCCCAATAAGGAAACAGAACTGGATAGTTGTCACATTTTTTGAACCTGTGTTTTCAGGAAGACTAAAATGAGCATAACTATTCTCAAGAGTTTTACGTTCTTGGTAAAGTATTTTAGTGAACACTTTTCTTGAGATGGAAGTTGAAGTTTTCTCAAGCATGTTTGCAATACCCTGTGTAATAGTCATTTTAAGAATGATTTTACACATGAGTAGTGATGATTCAACACAATCATTGACCAGTGTCGATTTTAACATCTTGAAAAAATTTTCAAGATGGGATTTTTGAAATGTCTAGTATTGTTTTGGCAATTCACTGAAGAGTTTAGGTCGAGTTGCCAGTATTTTGTTTCTGAAAGTTTGAAAGTCATTGGATGGAACAATGTGATTTAAATGGTATCATTGGAAGTATTTGAAGGGAGTTTTTAGGACTGCAGTCACTGCATGTGGGTGACCTGTGGTGTGAATATGTGATTATTGAGATACTTAACACTTGTGTGAATTCAGTGATAAAATAGTATCCAGGTGTTACAGTCATATGCTGGGTAACGACATTTGGCATACAATGTTTGTCCCATAAGGTTAGTGCCATATAGCCTAGGTGTGTAGTCGGTTGTACTGTCTAGGTTTGTGTAAGTACATTCTGATGTTCACAACGATGAAATTGGAAAAGAACACATTTCTTGGAACATAGCCCCGTCGTTAAGAGACGCATGACTGTACATATTCTTTTTTCCCAATCCTAGAGTATCTCTGAAATGGGTACTAGTTCCATATTCTAGAATAGTAAACAGGCACAGAACTTAATTTCCCAAAGGTCATTGTTTGATGCAAAGCTAGTTTGAATTTGTGTAGTCAGCTCTTAAGTAATCCATGCGTATGTGTGGAAACCACAGCACTAGAAATTGAAAGATTGGGAACTGAAACTGTGCAAGAGGTCTCATCTGTTCTTTTCTCTGGTTCCTACTGTACTGTGCACACAGCCATGTGCTTACTTGGTGAAGGGCAGTCGTGCAGTGATCCTAATACAGTCTGGATATCTAAGCTGTAAGAGGTTAATGGCTCTTTCTTGTCTTGAGCCGCAAGACGGATGTTAGATTTGTGCTCATGTGTGAGCCTCGAATTTATTTTCACTATCTCATAGGTACTGGGTACACACTGTGATGGATGATTTATATATTTAAAAAGAAGATAGTGTACCTAGGGGTGTATAGGAAACGGTAAAAAGCACCCAACACACTGCGATAAGGGAAATACGGTGCTATGAGAATAACGGGGCTACCAAGTAGGATGGTTATTTGATAGACTAAAGAATTCAGTTCAGCTAATACCGGCAGGTTGAGGAAGACTCTACCTAAGATTAAGCTCATAACCAAGTACTGTGGGAGGTGGTGGGATTGCTAGGTGTGGATGGCGGAAAGGTGAGGTACCCGGCAGGTTGGGGATCTGCGCCTGCGCCCTGGAGAGCGCGGCGAGCCGGCGCTCTGCGGCTCCGTGCGCCTGCGCGCCCTCCTCCCGCCTTTTTTCACCTTGCCTGTGTTGTGGGGCTCCGCGAAGGGACGCTCGGAAAGCTCATACTTCTTGTGCCTGGGAAGGCTTGTGAGAATGCTGAGGCCCGAGATCTCATCCACCTCGCCTTCCGTCCCTGCGGCTTCCTCCTCAGTCGAGGCTCCGTCACAGGGTCCCCGCTACGATTTCAGACTCCCGGAGACTCAGAGCCGCGCTTCAGCCGCGGCCTTCTCCGCGTGCAGCCCTCCCGGCACGTCTGGGGCCGCGGGCGACCGGAGCAGCAGCAGCAGTCTCCCTCGCCGCCCGCCGAGCGCCCGGCCTGCTCAAGGCAAGGAGTGGGGGGAGTCCCCGTCGGCCGAGGCCTGCGGGCCGGGTTCGGGGAGCCGTGGTTAGTGGTTACAGAGGAATCAGCTGCGGTGGGTTGGAGGCTGAGAACAGGGTGCTCTGGGAATCTGATGGGTCTGAGTGATTAAAAGGCTGCACTCTTCAAATTGGGTTTATTAGGAGGCTGTCATGGTGGACAGCTCACTTCTGAGGAAGGCAGAAGTAACTTCCGGTGTGGTGTCCCTCTTTCCCCGCCCTCCGGAAGCGTATGACAAAGGACTGAGTTTGGGGATAGGACTGGTGAACCACTTGGCTGCTGAACTTAAGTCTCCAAGGCCGCCGCCTTTTTTGTGTGTTTGAGGGAGATCGGCCCTGAGCTAACATCCGTGCTAATCCTCCTCTTTTTGCTGAGGAAGACCCGCTCTGAGCTAACATCTATTGCCAATCCTCCTCCTTTTTTCTCCCCAAAGCCCCAGTAGATAGTTGTATGTCATAGCTGCACATCCTTCTAGTTGCTGTATGTGGGACGCCGCCTCAGCATGGCCGGAGAAGCCGTGTGTCAGTTCGCGCCGGGGATCCGAACCCCGGGGTGGCCAGTAGCGGAGCGCGCGCACTTAACCGCTAAGCCACGGGCCGAGGCCTTCTACAACAGGATGCAAGTAGATTAAATTTAACATTTCATCTTATTCAGGTGAATAATATGTTTAATATTAAAATATGTATGTCCTTCAAGGCCAGGTCAACTTGTTTATTTTATATTTGGTTACTCCGTTCATGGCAAAACCATCACACAGGGTTTTCACACAACATTCGGACTCAGTGGTAAAGTAACAAATGCGAAATCCAGTGGTCCCTTTTCCTTGCATCTCCTGTGCCTTTTCGCTGTATTTAATGTTCCCGACCAGCCTTCTCTTGAACTCTCTTAATTTGATTTCCTTGGTTACACTCCCCCCTGTTTTTCTTCTGCCTCCCAGAGAACTGCTCAACTCCTTTGTTTGTTCCCGTATTCTTCATTTGCCCTTATAGTTTTATTCCTAGGCTACTTCTACCTAGATGTGATTATCACCACAGCTCAGATCCCATCTATGCTCCAGATTCCTGTGTCAGCCTGTCTTCTGAAGGTTCTGGTAAGAGACCAGTGGACGCCTCAGATTCGCTATATGATTAGTTGAATTCATCTCTCTGCAGCTCCTCCTGTTTCTCTTATCTCAATCATTGGATTCTCTAAATCTTAAACCTAGAAGACTTGAATCAAGTATTCCCTCACCCGCAACATCAAATAGTTAACAAGTCCTGTCTATATTTATCTTTTAAATAATTTTATCTCTTTCTATCTCTGTGCCATGACAGACCCTCATAATTTTATGTCTGAATTATTGCATCAAACTCCTAAGTATTCCTTCTTCCAAGCTTGCTTACAGCATCACCAGAGTCATATGGAAAATGAAAATCTTATCATGTCCCTTGCCACTTAAAATAAATCAGTGGCTCTGTATCTGCAATTAAAAAATCAAACTCTTTAGCAGGATATCCAAGGCCATTCGGGATCTTTCTTCAATCCTTACAGTCTTGTCTCTCATCACTTCTTAATATTAACCCTGCTTTCTAGCCTAACTGAGCTACTTGCAGTTCCTCCAAGGCAACATGCATGTTTACATTGTCAATCTAATCCCCTCTTTTCATGAAATGCTTTGTCACTCATTTATTTTAAACAGTAATAATAACATCCACTAGTTAATGAGCACTACTCTGTTCTAGCTTCTTACTAGGCATATGGTATCTCTGATCCCTACAATAATTCTGCAAAGTAGATTTTTCTTTTGTCCCCATTTTATAGAGGGAGCCAAGGCCAAAATAGATGAAATAGTTATGTTAGGAGCTGAGGGTAATAATATTCTGTGCTCTCAGCTTATGGTTCAGTAGAAAAAATCAATAAATACACTTTTAAAAGATAACTATATGTGAGATATTTACAGATTTTTGAGGTATTTATAAGTAGGGGAACAAAAGTGGCAAAAGAAATTCTGCAAAGGAAGTTCGACTTGAGCTGATGTTGAAGGATAAGTAAGACAATGTCAGCTAAAGGGAAGGAGGAGAAAAGAGAAACTAGAGAGCATTCTTAAGAAAGAAAAACATGTGCAAAGGCACAAAAGAAGTATGATACAGTATGTCATGTTTGTAGACTACAAATAATTTCATTTGGCTAGAGCAGGGGGGTGATCTGATATAGATAAACTTGGAGTATTTGTAGAAATTCCATCTGGGAGTTTATCTGCCATGCCAACAACACGTCTCTCTGGTTTTGGTGATTCTAGAGATGGTAATACAATATCCTGATAAAAGGAATTTTGTAGAAGCAGCAGCTTTTAGAGGGGAAAACGTGTCCATTCTGCTATAGACATGTTGAGTGAGAAGAGCCTCTGGGATATCCACGTATTCATATTAAGGCAGTTGAATATATGGGTTGAGGGCTAAGAAGAGAAAATTGAGGGAGATGAAGATTTGAAAATTACCTGATATTTGAGGCCAGAGGGGAGAAGATACAGCCAAATAGAGATCAAGGAAATTGGAGGAGAACTAAGAGAAGTTTGAAGAAGGGCCTTAGAGTCTAAAAGTAACCTGAGAACAAGAAACAGGCCTGTCTGTCTCCAGTTTCTAGTAACCACTCCCTTCCTTAGCTCCTTTAAGCCTACGGATGGTAATGGAGTGCAGTATATCTTGGTTCTACACACTTCTTTATGATGATATCCTTACACCCTATCCACACCTTTGTAAATATTTCTTTTATCAAACTCTCCTCAAATTATGCTAGCTTGAATGTGTCATCTGATTCCTGCTGAGACTCATACAAAGAAGCTAGATTTTATCCTATAGTGGATATGGAGAGTCACTGAGGAACTGTAAGAAAGGGAGAAATTTCTGAAATTTCTTTTTCAGAAAGATCACTGGTTATGATGTGAAGAATGGATTAGAGAGGCA